AGTTCTTCTCATGGTCTCAGCAAATCTGAGCAATACTTCAGGCCTGGCCAGTGTGGTGTTCTGTCCCATAAATAAGAGCAGAATTAGGTACTAATTCCAGTTCCTTCACCTGTTCGGTTTCTAACATCTTTCCTCAGAGACAAACATGATTAACCTCTAGAACGGCCTTTTTCTTATCAGTATGTTATCACTGGCCTCGTCTTTCAGTGAGTAGCTTCTCTCCTGTCGTGTTGCTGAGGAGGCATTTCCCTGTCTGGGGCCTGGTACTAGCTGGCTATGGTTTTGGTTTTTATCTTTGGTCCCAGGAAGGAATGCCTTCAACCCTGATTAAATTGGTTTGAGCAGCTGATTACATTCTTTTGATTCTAGGTGTTTCTTTGACAGATATGTGGGAGGAGTACGGCAATACATCCCACTACATCTAAGAAAATGATTTCTAAGTTGTGAAGTGCAGTGGAATATACTGCTGAACTCTATCAGGGTCAAACAGCATTTATTGAACATGTGTGGTGTCCAGAGATTGGTGTATGATGTCAGTGGGAGGGTTACTCAATGTCTTCTCCCAGTCTCTGGAAACCGTGAATAGTGAAGTGTTTACAATCTAACAGATGAGATTGGTTTAACATAGATAAATATCAGATAATGAAAGAGTCTCGTAGACAAATACATAATCATCTCCTCATCTTAAAAATTTGTTTGTCTCCTTAAATTAAATAAAAGTTCCTTAGTTTGGCATTTAAGGCCCTTGCTCGGTTTTTTTTTTTACAGGTATCTCTATAGGAACATTGTCCAATAGAAATATAATGCCAGCTACATATGCAATAAGAAAAATAGATTCATTTTAATGATGTCTTTTATTTAAGTAAATATATCAAATTATTATGTTAACATATACTCATTATTTTAAAACTATTAGAAATAGGTTTGTTTTTGTACTAAATCTTCAAAACTCGGTGGGTATGTTGCACTCACAGCACATCTCAATGCAGACTGACTGCACTGCAATCATCAAAAGCCACATGTGTCTCGTGCCTACTGCAGCAGACATTGCAGGTAATCTGCACCCAGGTTTTCTCGTGTTTTGTGCCCTTCACCTGTATTGTCTCTTTTCCTTTGTGCTCTGTTACCATGCAGACTTGCCCACTCAGATAGTTTTTTTTTCTCTGCATATGGCAGATAATCACATTCTGCTGTGGCCGTTCATATATTTATCTTCTTACCCCCAACCCCTACTATAGGGGACTATCTCATGATTTTACTTGCCTCAGTGCTTTAATGTGGTCAAAGTGATAACAACGAATGTTTTCTGAGGGCTTGCCATGTGCCAAGCTTATGCAATGTGCTTTATACACTATTTTATTTCTCATAACATCTAGTTACTCTTATTTCTGCCATTTTACTAATGGGGAAACTGAAGCATGGAGAAGTGCTGGAGCTTGCTTGTTTGTTTTGTTGATTAGGTCCTGCTTAAAGGTGAGACTTAAAGGTAAGATTATATGATATTTGTCTTTCACCACCTGGCTTAATGCTCTCTAGTTCCATCTACGCTGTGAAGGGTACTAGCTCCTTCTTTCTTTCTGCTGGGTAGTATTCTATTGTGTGAATGTACCATAGTTGGGTGTTTTTTTTTTTTTTAATGTATAGAGAGGGGAAGAGAGAGAGGAAGGGAGAGATATATCAGTGTGTGGTTGCCTCTTATGTGCCCCCTACTAGGGACCTGGCCTGCAATGCAGGCATGTGCCCTGACTGGAAATTGAACCAGCCACCCTATGGTTTGCAGGCCAGCATTCAAACTGAGCCACGCCAGTCACACCAGCCAGGGCTGTACCATAGTTTTTCCATCCATTCATTTACTGATGGGCACTTAGGTTGCTTCCAGTACTTGGCTGTTGTAAATTGTTCTGCTATGATCACTGGGATGCATAGATTCTTTTGAATTGATGTTTCAGGATTCTTAGGGTATAATCCCAGTAGTGGAATAGCCAGGTCAAAAGGCAGTTTCATTTTTAGTTTTTTGAGGAAATTTCATACTGTTTTCCACAGTGGCTGCACTGGTCTGCATTCCCAGCAACAATGTACTAGGGTTCCCTTTTCTCCATAAGTTTGCCAGCACTTGTTGTTCATTAATTTGTTTATGAAGGCCATTCTGATTGGTGTGGGTGGTATCTTACTGTGGTTTTAATTTGCCTCTCTCTGATGGCTAGTGATGCTGAGCATCCTTACATATGTCTTTGGACCTTCTGTATGAACTCCTTGGAGCAGTGTCTGTTCAGGTCTTTTCCCCATTTCTTAACTGGATTGATTGTTTTTCTGGTGTGGAGTCTTATGAGTTCTTTATGTATTTTGGAGATCAAACCCTTGTCTGAGGTATCATTGGCAATAATATTTTCTTATACTGTTGGTTACCTTTTCATTTTGCTGATGTTTTCTTCAGTTGTGCAGAAGCTTTTTATGTTGATGAAGTACCATTTTTAAATTCTTTCCTTTATGTCCCTTGCTCTAGGGGACATATCAGTAAAAATATTGCTGCATAGAATATCTGAGGTTTCCCTGCTTATGTTTTCCTCTAGGACTTTTGTGGTGTCATGATTTATATTTAAGTCTTTTCTCCATCTTGAGGTTCTTTTTGTGTGTATGGTGTAATTTGGTGGTCAAGTTTCGTTTTTTTGCATGTAGCTCTCTAGCCCTCCCAACACCATTTGTTGAAGAGGCTATTTTTACTTCATTTTATGCTTCTGTCCCATTTGTCGAATATTAACTGACCATAGAGACATGGGTTTATTTCTGGGCTCTCTGTTCTGTTCCACTGAGCTATGTGTCTGTTCTTATGCCAGTACCAGACTGTTTTGATTACAGTGGCCTTGCAATATAGTTTGATATCAAGTATTGTGATCCCTTCTACTTTGTCCTTGTTTCTCAAAATTGCTATGGGCTATTCAGGGTCATTTATAGTTCCATATAAATTTTTGAAATGTTTGTTCTATATTTGTAAAATATATCATTGGTATTTTATTTTATTTTTTAAGGATTTTATTTATTTATTTTTAGACAGAAGGAAAGGAGGGAGATAGAGAGGGAGAGAAAAACATTAATGTGTGGCCGCCTCCGGTGCGCCTCCCCGCTGGGGGCCTGGCCCACAACCCAAGCATGTGCCCTGACCAGGAACCGAACCAGTAACCCCCTGGTTTGCAGGCCGGAGCTCAATCCACTGAGCTACACCAGCCAGGGCAGCATTGATATTTTAATAGGGATTGTGTGGAATCTATATATTGCTTTGGGTAGTATGGACAGTTTGATGATGTTAATTTGCTGTAAATTTCTTATTCAACTCTGAGACTTTTTAACTCTTTTGATGGTGTCCTTTGATAAAACTAATTCTTAAATTTAATGTGGCCATACATATTTTATTAGTGTTTCTATTATATAGTGCTTTTTGGATTAGTTTAAAAGTCTGCCCCCTGCTCTCGTGTCCTTGCACCAGGCATTGTTGTGCTTCACCACCATGACAACATAAATCAAATTTCCATGTATGGGTGAGGCTTTCTGGTCTCTTTATTGTGTTCCATGGGTATATTTGTCTACCCTTGATTTTATAACACACTGCCTTAATTATTAAGGCTTTATAACAAAGCTTGATATCTGGTAGCACAAGTCTTCCCACTCCTCTTGCTCCTAATCCTCCCCTTTCACTTTCTTTTACTACTCTTCCTCGGGAATGGTTGTCTGCTCTTCCATTCAATTTCAAATGGGCCTGCTAAGTTTTTCTGTCACATACACACAAACCTATTGAGATTTTATCTGGAATTGCACTGGATCTGCAGATAAATTTGGAGAGACTTGACATCTTTCAGTATTGAATCTTCCAATCTATGAACCTGTTATCTTGTTTGTTCATATCTTTTCAATGTTTTAAAAAATATTTTCTTCTTCATACAGGTCTTGCATTTCTTTGATTTATTTACAGTTATTTGATATTTGTTGTAAGCTATTGTAAGTGGTATCTCCTGGAATATAGAAATATTGATTTTAAATATGATTTATTAATTTTACTAAATTATGTTATTGTAACAATTTATCTGCACATTCTTTTTATTTTATTTTATTTTTAAAAGATTTTTATTTACTTTTAGAGAGAGGAAGGGAGGGAGAGAGAAAGATAGAGAAACATCAATGTGTGTTTGCCTCTTGTGTTGCCCCCACTGGGGACCTGGCCTGCAACCCAGGCATGTGCCCTGACTGGGACTCGAACCTGCGACCCTTTGGTTCATAGCCTGTGCTCAATCCACTGAGCTATGCCAGCCAGGACTGTACATTCTTTTTTTAAAAAAATATTTTATTTATTTATTTTCAGAGAGAGGGGAAGGGAAGGAGAGAAACATCAATATACGGTTGCCTCTTGTGTGCTCCCTACTGAGAACCTGGCCCGCAACCCAGGCATATGCCCTACACTGGGAATCCAAACTGCTAACCTTTGCTTCGCAGTCTGGTGCTCAATCCACTGAGCCAGGTCAGCCAAGTATCTGTACATGCTTTTGAATTTGCAACATACATAATTGTATCATCTGTGAAGAATAACAATTTTGTTTTTTCCGAGTCAATCTTTTATTTTTCTTGCCTTACTCCACTGGCTCAGGACTTTCAGGGGCAATAACGAACACCCTTATCTAGAGCACACTTTAAATCACTAAATCCTTTTGCCTGAAGCCAACAGCTTTGGAATTATTGGTTCCCTGCTGGAGATCAGGAGTAGAGTAAGACGCCCACACTCCTCTTCCAGTGGCACAGCCAATAAGGCCGACAGAGCACCCTCCGTAAACTCCTCTTCCAATCCGGAAGAAGCCCGCCGCCCCTCTGGTTGCCGCGCAACGGCGTGGTTCAGCCCTTAAATAGGTGGCCGCGGGCTTCATGCACGTGCAGCCTCTTCCGCATTCTGGGACTACAACTCCTACAATGCTGCGCGTCGCGGCCCAGTAGGTTCCACGGTGGGGGAAGGGCCCGGCCGAGCCGGGAGGCGGAGCGGAAGCAGAGTGTGAGCTGAGAGAAGAGTAGGATCTCCACCAGCTGGAAACCAATCTTCTTCCTGATTCCCAGTCGCGTCCTTTCTCCATCCCAACCTGGAGGCTGCTTCGCCAGCAGCTGACGCCCTCTAATCGGCTTTCGCTGTGCCTCCCTAGAGCCCCTTGGCAGCGGCGGCGACGGTGACGAGAACCCCATAGACTAGGTAATGGGGAGAAGGCACCGAGGGAACGGGGGCTGGGGACGTCCCAGCCTGCCCGCCCGAGCCACTCGCGGAACCCCTCCGGCCGGCGGCCACCCCTTCTCTGCCGCGCCCCGCCCCCCCGCCGCACCCGGGCTGCCGCTGTTGGGCGTCCGCAGAGACTGGACTTGGGGACCGGCCGGCGGGCGGCTCTTTGTCCCTGCCCCTCTGGGTCTGACTGCCGGGCCGGTGTGCTGCAGGCGGAGAACTGAGCGGGGGCCCTGGCTGCGTGGTTAGAGCGAGCGGGCTAAGTCCCGGCCGCTGGCGTGGGACCGAGGGACCTGAGCTGCAGGGACGGAGTGCCGCTGCTGCGCTGCAGCCGCACTCACTTATGTATTTGACAGCTCAGCTCTGTTCTACTTTGTGGAGGTGAGAAACGTCCAGACCTGTAAGAATTTTTTAGTTTATTTGAGCCAAACTGACAATAATTGTGGGGGAGCAACATCTCAACGGATTGAGAAAATGTTCCAGGAGATGGCAGTTTTTACCACTTATTTTATACATCAGAATCATAGGGGAAGACGTGAGGGGGTTACATGAAATCCATTGGTGATTACAAAGGTGGGAGAAAGCAAAGCGGGGAAAGCTCTTAAGATTAGATAAAAACTAAAACAGATAGACATACTTCATACTTATTTAAAATTTCTTTATATACTTATTTAAAAATTTTTTTAAGAGAGAGGGAGGGGGAGAGAAATATCTATGAGTTGTTCCACTTATCTATGCATTCATTGGTTGATTCTTGTGTGTGCCCTGACCCAGGATTGAACCTGCAGCCTTGGTGTGTTGGGATTAAGCTCTAGCCAACTGAGTTACCGGCCAGGGCAGACACATACTTCTTTTACATTGGTGGGTATAGGATAGTTAACAGGTAACAACACAATGGGGGGTTATGATCTGGTGCAGTGATTGTACCCTGAGGGGCCTGGAAAAAGGAAATTCTCTTGACATTTTAAAGGTATGTTATTGTAGATACAGAAAGACAATAGACAGGCTCAGTTAAGGTAAGGCCCTTTGCCTGGGAAGATACCAACTTAGGACAGGACTACCTGCCATGACTTTCTTTCAGTTAGGAAATTTAATTTCAGGCCATCCTATGAGGTTACTTTATGTCTGAGTTTGTAAGGCCCACCATGCAGGCCTTCCCTGAGCTTGGCAGGTTTAGTCTGTGGCCCCTTTTTTTGTCCACAACTTTGAGAGAGTCAAATGCCCCCTTTTTACGCCCTCTTCAAAACTCCTGGGTGACTTGGTGAGTATGAACTCAGATGGCTTATACTCTTGTGAGTGGTGTTAAGTGTCGCTCAGCTAGCCTGGGTTCCCATCCTGATCCAGTTGCTACATGGCTTTGTGACCTTGGTTAAACAGGCTGTAGATTGGAGTTTTCTCATTGATCAAATGGAGATAAAATATACTCCTTTAAATTGTTAGGGTAACAAGTAGTGTGCTTACACTGCCATTCATTCTTTATTTGACGACAAATCTTTTGCACATGATGCTTTTATTAGTGATACTGAAATAGCCTCTGGATTTGTGAGTTTTGTGTTTTTCTTTCTTTAATCATCATCACCCTAGGTTGTATGTTCTTCACTTTATGCCTCGTTCACTTTAAACCCAAGCAAAGAATTTTGAAAAAACATGCTGTCTTCTTTTCTGCTGTTCTAAGATGTTCTTAGGAAATTGATGACTCTGCAGGACTCCCTCCCCTCCCTCCTGCCAGCTTTGTCCTTTGCGGGATCCTCAGAGGAGCTGCAGTGTTTGGCAGCTGAGCATCTAGGTGTTCTGCCGTCCTGCCAGGGTTCTCACCGTCTTTCCACCACGTATTAACCTTTTTCTGCCTCAATCTGCTCTTTCCCACTGGTTAGTAATTTCCTCCCTTTGGGACTCGTGTTTCCAAGTTGCAGTTTTTTTCCTCAGGATATGTCGTTGAATGTATTGTAATAAATTTGATGAGGAAATGACTTGAAACATTTCACTGTAGTGCTTTTTTAGTTTCAGTTGTTCTTGCACTGTTTTCTCCTGAATTTCACTGATGTTGGTGATGAGTTTTTCTTCAAAGAACTCTTTATGGTCCTTCGTTGAAAGATTGTTTTCATTTAAAGTGTCCGTTTGGTACTGTTTTGAATTCAAACATTACTGTGCAGCGTGTGAGGCAGCGTCCTGAGCGATGCTGTGTTTGAATGTACAGTCAGAGTGGGTGGGGCAAGGCCAGCGGGGCCTGATGAATGTTCTGTGTGATGTCTTTAGTGAGAGATGTATTTAAGGTTTTTTTCAGAAGAAAAGGGGAACTCTAATGAATGTATTTCATGAGGATAACAGGGAGCCAGGGAATAAATGAGTGGAAAACTTGTTTAAACTGCAGGAGATGACATAAGGACATAAAGATTTCTGATGCATTTAAGAACATATGGCAAAAATACTTGTTTTGAAAAAAAAACGTTTCTAGGTTGGCGTTACTTAATGTAGTATAATGACCGTGGAAATAGAAGACCATGGTATTGTCCCAGCACTGTCATTATCTGTGTGACCTTTGGCCCCTTTGAGGTCCTCAGTTTCCTCCTCTCTGAAATCGTGACTTGGTCTGATTCCGAGGACTCTTCTACCTCAGACTTTCAATGATGAGGATTTTTAGACATTCTTTTTAATGTGGGAAGAATGGATGTATACCCTTTTAGTCATTTGTTTGTGTTTTAGTGTATATTTCCACACAGAGGGAGAAGATGCAGGTGAAAGATCTAGAAAGGTGTCACGAACAAGGGTCTCTGCTGACCAGTTCACCTTTCTCTGTCGTGAGCTGCCCGTGCTGCCTCTGCATTGTTGACCTGCTTAGTTTTCTTCTTCCCTGCTGGGTCTGTCCTTTTTATTCTACTTGTAGCTGCTGTTTACCTATGGCACCTGCTTGTTTTTCATGCTGGTTTGTCAATCCCCCATCCAACGTCATTGTTTCTTTTTTTGTGAATTCTTTCCCTTTTTGCTCCCACATTCAACATCCTGGTTTTCTTAAGGGCCTCTTTTTGTCCAAGGCCTCAGGCCAAGGAGCCCAGTGTTTGCTAGTTAGCTGTAGAAGGGGGTGTGGGCACAAAACACCATTGGCTGAGGCTTTGAATGAAATATCTAGTACAGCATAATATTTCTTTGAAGATTTTTAAATCTTTATTTTTTAAAACATTTTACTTATTTACTTTTAGAGAGTGGGGAAGGGAGGGAGAAAGTAAGGGAGAAAAACATCACCGCTTGAGAGAAATATCAATTGGTTGCCTCTCCTGTGCATGCCTCAGGGACTGGCCTGCAACCCAAGCATGTGCCCTGACGGGAATTGAACCGGCAACCTCTCAGTTTGCAGGCTGCCACTCAATCCCCGGAGCCACACCAGCCAGGGCTGGTACTGCATAATGTATTTGAGATGAAACTTTTGCTGTGGCATAATGATTGTTTCCCTTTTGCTGTAACATTTTAACCTTGACTTTACACATTTTTTTCTATCTTTGTACTCTTCAGTACTGTAATCTTCTCTTCCCTCTCCCAAATATGCCATCTAAAAATGATCTAATATCTGTAGGTATGATATTTCTGTATCTCAGCTGGAATTTAAGTGTAGTGCCCCTCAAGACAATTCACAGTTTAAATCTTACACGGAACTAGGAGTGAATGGCTGTGTCCTATGTTAATTTTTCCCCCTCAGATATTGGCCTTAGGCAATATTATGTAGAGAAAATATTTTAGGAATGGGCTTTTTCCCCTGAAATTACATTCCAAAGTCAAATCTGTGGAGGACTTGTTTCTGAGTCTTTTTTTGGAGAGAATTCTCTGAACCTCTGAGCTCTGGTGAACATACTGTGTCCTTTTTCTAATAAATAGCTGCCTCTCTAGCTGTGAATTCCTTAGGAGACTGGTAGACAGTGATTCTTATAGTACCTTTAGCTGAGCGAGAGTGAGAGAGAGAGTGAGAGAGAGCAAGCACTGGATCCCTTGCCTTACAGATTTTTAAAGGCAGGAATTTCAGAGGAGGATCTCAGTAGAATGTGCATTAGCCTTCCAGGTGTGTCCGTTTAGGGTGGTGGGCTCTACTGACTGCTCCTCAGTAGGGCAGGGGGTCAGTGGTCATTACATATGATTCTGACATCACTGGTTTTGCTGCTTTTCTGGGCCTGGAGCTGAAACACAACTGAGGCCTAGATGTTATCTTGAGTTTGACCAAATCTCTGTCTCTGTGGTCAACAGACCCGTCCGTGGCTTTGTTTCTAAGATGATTTGATGGATCCGATGTGATCAGACCCTCACTGTCCTGAGGACTTAGTGCTTCAGGGAGTGGACACGCAGAGGCTGGTGTGGGAGTCACATGAGGCTTCTCCAGCCTCCTCGTTCATCTGCTGAGGGGGGCCTTCCACGTGGCTGGCAATAGGCCTGGGGAGGAAAGGTCTGAACCACATGACCAGTGATGTGAAAGGTCAGGGGGTCTAAAACCACAAGATCAGTGATATGCTAGGGGAGGAAACGTCACCCTGGGGGCCAAGTGCTACCTTATAGCTGTCTGTTGCTAGGCAGCTGGGGCTTGTAGCCCTGGTTACCTTCTGTACCTGGCCTATGGTTCCTGCTGTGCCGGTGTCTGTGTAACTGCCTACGATATCACCTGAGTAGGTGGGGTCATACAATATTTGTCCTTTTGTGTCTGGCTTATTTAATTTAACTTAGCATGATGTCTTTAAGATTCATCCATGTTGCAGCTTGTATCAGAATTTTATTCTGTTTAAGGCTGAATAGTAACCCATTATATGTATATAGCACATTTCGTTTGTTCATCTGTTGATGGACACTTGTGTGGGACACTTGTCTTTTTCACCTTTGGCTGTTATGAATAATGCTGCAGTGACCATGGGTGTACAAGTATCTCTTTCGATTCCCTGTTTTCAATCCTTTTGTGGTTTTACCCAGAAGTAGAATTGCTGGATCATATCATATAATTCTGT